TGGGCAGGCCAATTTGGATGTTCTATGTGATGAGTCCCTCTCTATGTATGTCCCTTTTTATATGTGCTTAAATGGAGAGGAGGTTATTCATCTGAAGGTAGTTATAACAATTTTTGTATTTGATAAATTAATATTTATGTTAGGATTCAGAGAATGTCATTTTCGGGCTCAAAAGACCCCTTTAGCCACGCTCATTGATTTTACAATGTGAACAGAATGTGGGATAACACCAGGGGAAGAGTTTTGTTTCCCTCATTCTCAGGAACAAGTCACGATTCAGCATTTTCAGTTCAAGTAGGAGTACCAGTGGAGTCCTGTAGCGTAGTGGTTAGAGCATGCACCTTGCAAGCGAGAGGACCTGGGTTCAATTCCTGGGCAGAGTGAAACGTTAGGCAAATTTCATTACTCCACATACCTCTGTTTCCCTGGCAGTAATAGGAACCTGGTTGTTAGTCGATTGGTGTATCGCTTTTCTGGGGACATGAGGCACAGTGGCTTAAAAGACTCACAGTAAGCCCACACCCATTCCCACATGGCATGACTGCTCCCATACTGACTGAGGAATCTGCTCACAGGGCACCACTACCACCTGTAGTGGTGTTTCTAACTATTATAGCATTTCATCCCATACTGATCAATTAACAGTGTGCAACACTTGTCAGTCCTCTTTCAGTATTATAGAGATATTGTAGCAGTACAGGAGGCTAAACTAATCCAAACTCATCCACTGGATCTGGCTATCACAAATATCTTGCCCATGGAGTTCAGTAGAGAACCCAGGTTAGTGATGTCAATATACAATACAAGGCTTAGAGTAAGCCAATCACTCTGTATAGTAATATTCACAGAATCATGTCTCCTTCCTGCACAGGTGACATTGCAGTGAACATTTTCCTGCCTTATACTGGCAACTGGTCTATATGTGGACTCGTCAATTGTTTTCATTGCAGAAAAGAAATCCATGGCTGAGTCTTATGGGTGAAAAGGATACAGAAGGCATTGCTTCCTAGCAATGAAACTTTTATTTAGTGAGACTGTGTACCGTTTAAATGGAAGCTATTTACAAAATACTAGTGGAGCAGAGAAACATCGATTCCCATTGCCCTTTGAGATACAGCAGTCTTGAACCTCACAGGTAAATATGATCAGACAGAGTGAGAGAGCGAGGAGCCACTCAAACAATATCCGCTGCTGCAAGTCTAAGAAATGCTTTATTTTATAGATGTATTTCTCATTTTCCTTTCTCACAAAAACACAGCCTACCGGGTCAATGTGTCACAGAATTGACAACAGTAAGTGATACTGTCAGTCTGGTAGTCACCTGGTCCTCAGTAATCCACTTTTTTTCTTAATTTAGTATGTTAAAAACAATCATCTAATTAGCATTTTTTTCCTAAAGATCTAGCTTGTTTGTTAGCTCGGGTCATGACCCAACTGTGCAGCGCCTTGGGACGTCCTCCTGACGTGAAAGGCGCTTTATAAATGGAATCTTGTTGTTGTTTGCTCTCTATACATTGTTTGCACTTTGTTTTCAGAAATAGTAAATTACCCATTTTGCGAATATCGCAAATTAACAAGCTTTCAATAATTGCAATTGGAAGTCAGAGTTAGCACATCCAGTCCCAAAGTCTCACCTTCACACAAACTAATTTAGCAAAATACAAAATATCTGCTGATGGGCAGGGCTTTGTAGAATGGAAAGAATAAAACTCACGCTTGCACACACATACACACCAACACACTTACCCATGCAGGAACACGCACATGCATGAACGAACACACAACTATAAATACAAATTAAGCACAACAAAAGCCAACAAGAAACGCATGAAAATAATTAGTAAAATGGATGATGGGCATGTGTAAGAAATAATCTACACTGAAGGTAGTACAAGGAACTATAAAATGTTTGACAATGCAACTAGACAAGTTCCTTTAAATGAAGATGATCCCGGGTTATTAAGTGATGACACAGACGTGAGGAAAGAATGGTTTAGGTTTGGATGGGTGGCCAGGTGGACCAGTGTCCAGTGCTGCCTGAAGCTGTGTTAGAAACTCTTACATCACAACTCACATTCACACCTTCACACGTATGTCAGAAACTCTGATTGACAAGCTGGAAGTGAAGAGATTCATGAGATTCGTCCAAATGCGGTAATGTTGCTGATGGGAGCAAGCAATGGCTCATACTCCAGAGTTGGTGCATCAATAAATTAGTACACAACAGGGTTCCTTCCTTCCAGACGCCCGAGTTCAGGTGCCCGTGCCCTCTCTTGGCGGCTCCAATGCTGAGACGATCAATAAACCTCCAATAGCTTCATCCAAGCAGCTCCAGATATCCCATCCACAGATAGTGGTCCATAGTGAATGTCGGGTCGGTCAAGACCAGATAGATAGATAGTTTTGTAGGTATAAGAATCAAAGATCAAGCGATGTTGAACGCATCCCATCAATCAGAGGACAGATGCGTTTGCTGCAGCCGTGAGCGCTGTGTGAGCGCTTAGGCTCTTTTTACACTTTCATTCTCCTTAGATTCGGGTGAAGTTCTTTCGAAAGTTTGAAGTGTGTTTTTCTAGACTAAGAGCCCTCTGTTCGCCATGAGTGCGGTCTGGCTTTCCCTGCGCTGAGCCTGCTTTCGGCACTGGCGGGTTCTCCAGCACACGGCGCTGGCCCCCAGCAGCAGCAGCCCGGAGCCGAGCAGCACCAGCCCGAGGATCGAGATGATGGAGCCGTGAGAGTTGAAGCTATAAGCGACGGCGGTGACCACCACTCCAGAGATCAGGATGACCAGCCCGAAGGGGATGGTGCAGCGGGAGCAGGAGGTCTCGGCGCCGCCAGTAGCTGCACTCAGCTGCCCCTGACTGGCGAGCAGTCGGGCTGCAGCGGGCACCGGGCAATCACAACCCTTCTCCGGGGCAATGGGAAGGGCTGAGACCCCCGACTCCTCAGTCATCTTGTCCCCGGCAGGTCCCCTCTGTCCCGCCCTTCTCGTTTATTTCTTCCCTTGAAATTATTTTCTCCTTTTATTCCGAAGCCTCAGTTTGCACAGAGCCAAACACCTGAATCAGACAGAAAATCGCAGTCAGTGTGAGTGTGTGTGTGTGTGTGTGTGTCCGGCCCCAGCAGCAAACAACCAAGGCCCATTACTGGGTATCGGACTGAGAGTCGGGTTACTGAATAATATTCATAGCACTAACTACATTTAGCAATATTATTTAAGAGACGATTTTAATATCGACACAATATACCATCAATATTATTTTAAAAATATCGTTATTATCTATTTTAAAGTCATTTATAGGTAATGGTGATCAATAATAGGCAAATAACGAGAATATTAAAATAACATTGAGTACAGCAACCCCTATACATTAGCTCTAACACCTTATGGCTGGTGAACAATGTTACTAATTTAAAACCGAAATAATTTATATTTAATACAAAAATTGATACGATTAATAACCCCAATAATATTCATAGCGATAATGATATTAGCCAAAGTAAACAGGTTGATAGCGTTATATCAGTAATAATATAATTGGTGTCTGTCATGACATTCGTAATTTTAAGAATAAGATTAGTAGCAATTAAATATCAATCAATTATTAACATCAATGGTCATATCAATAAATTCAGTAATAACGGGAATTAGAATAATTTCGGGAGAGGTTCGTAGAAATTGAGCAACAAAAAAAGCTATTAGATGTCAATTGTTGAAACATTTGCAATGTTTCAAATGAAAACTTTTTGCGACTGTGAGTGCGGACAGTGATCTCCTCTCCGCTGCCGACATTAACCGTCCTTTTGAGAAGCACTGTGACTGGAGGGCTCGTAAACCTGCACCAGCACTGTATTCTGCACAGGAAGACTATGGTGTCTGGGTTGCAATGCAGTGTCAGCTCTTACCTTGATGGGACCAAGTCTCTCTGCAATGTTGCTTTGCTGTCAGTTCCTGCAGCCACGGAAGCTGTGTGTTGCGCTGAGGGTGAAGAGACGCGGCTGAGCGCTTAACGCAACAGGCGCTCAGATTTGTTTCAGGTGCATTGAACCAGAGGAGAGCTCCTCGCCTCCCCTCTGAGCACAGGCACAGCCGCCCTCCGCACCGAGGAGTCTCAGTCAGTGCGGTGCGAGTGAGAGCGCACAGCGACCGCTGCACTGGCGCCTCGAACAACAGTGAGCAGTTGGGACGGCAGTCCCCAGAACTTGCTCTTTCCTTCATTGAGAATGCAAATATTTTACAACTATTTAATACACGTTTATTGTTATTTAAGATAAGATTCCGGTATTAATGCTGATTTTACAATATTGACCAATAGAAGAATCTTTTTCTGCACTCATGATCCTGGAGGTCAGTTCCACTGGGATTTGGAGTTAGGTTCCTGGGGTCTCAGGATAGAAGAGGAAAGTTCCGGGGTCATTAGTGATATCAGGGCAGAATTCCTAATCGCGGGCTTTCAAACCTTTCGCGCAGTCGGTGCCCAGAAGGGCATTAATATCACGTCTTTATTTACTCACCCAGCAAGAGGCTGGGATCATGGCTTCTCATCCACCCATACCATCAGAACTATCAATCTATACTGAACAATCACTGACACATACCCAGTCAGTCACTCAGTTACATCCATTTATCATACACACCACGTCCTGCAGATTGCTGTAACACTCAGGCAGAAAGAGACACGTACACACAATAAGACTTATGGAATCTCACATAACACACACATTCATCCACTTGACACGTATCCACTTATTTTCACTCACAGTCGTTGAATTACTTGCATTCACATAATCGCACACTCTCTTGCTGAGTCAGGCACAGACACGCAACATATTAAAGACACTTTTTTTTGAAAATATATATTTATAAATATAATATTTAGTGCAACAGAAATCCAAAACAAAAGGCACAAGCAGGACATACACTCACAGGGAAAAAAAAATCCACAAATCATGTAAACATAGCCATACAGTATATCCCATACGCACTAATATTAATTCACCATAGATACTCTGTCATCCTGTTTGACATGACAGGTAATTGCTGTTAAGTGTAGTGACTGTGTATCTGTAGACAATGATAAGAACCTATTTGTTCATCTCAAACTCCCGCAGGCAGCCATGAAGTGAATGATCAATTTAGCTGGAGGATACAATACAATACAAAATTACATTTGTAAAGCGCCTTTCACATAGGAAGGACTTCCCAAGGTGCTGAACAGTCAGGGATTAGGACCTGAGCGTGGTGGGGTGGGGCGCGGAGGTGGGAGGTTGGGATCAGGGAGGGTGGAGGGCAGAGAGGGAAGGAGGGTGGCCGAAAACACGGTCGAAACCCTTGAAGTGTGCCTTGAAGGAGGCAAGGGAGGGAGCAAGGCGAAGGTAAGGTGGGATAGAGTTTCAGAGGTTTGACAGCATCAGCATGTAAGGCTGCACTCTCCACCTCTCAAAGCCATCAGGAACCTCGGCGTTCTGTTCGACCCTGAGCTGTCCTTTCTTCCTCATATCTGCGCCACAACCGGCACCGCCTTCCATCTCCTCCGGAATATCGCCAGACTACGGCACTACCTCACCCCTCACGCGGCTGAAACTCTGGTCCACGCCTTTATCAGCTCAAGGCTGGACTATGGGAACTCTCTCCTCGCCGGCCTTCCCGGCCCTCCCTCCACACTGCAGGTCATTCAGAACTCTGCAGCTCATGTACTGTCCCGCACCAGACACCGCGCCCACATCACTCCCACCCTCACCCTCACCCTCGCCCTCGCTCGCCTCCACTGGCTCCCCATCCCCCAGAGGATCGATTTCAAGATCCTCATCCTCACTTACAAGGCCATGAATGTAGATAAATGAAATCTTGTTGTTGTTGTTGTTGTTGTTTGTTGACCAGGACAAAGTCCCTTTTCATATTGCGTCATAGGATCTTTAATATTCACGTGAACAGGTAGATGGAACCTAAGTTTAATGTCTCATTTGAAGATGGTAATTCTGACAATTCAGAGCATCCCAGAACTGTACTGGAATGTTAGCTCAAGTCCCTGACTCAGACAAGAGTCCTACCAGCTGAGCCAACCTAAACCTTATATTCAATATCAGTGCATATCAAAGTCACTTCACCCAGCAATGGGAGAATTTACCCCTTTAAAATTAAGATTCACATCAAACATTGAAACAGAAATTGTGTCCCAGCTTCTTAGCTCAGTGGTTAGAGCACTCGCTTTGCAAACGAGAGACCTGAGTTCAATTCCAGGCAGAGGGCGAAATCTTGGGCAAGTTTCCTTACTCCACACAGAGCCTAATAATAATCCCTCCAAAAAAAAAACAATGATAAAAAATTGGTCACTTTCAATCCATGACTGTTTGTGGGACATTGCTGTGCGCAATTGGCTGCCGCGTTCACCCACAAATATACAGTCAATGCACTTTACAGTATATTCTGTGAAGCGCTTTGGGACGTCCTCCCGACGTGAAAAGCACTATATCAAATGCAATGATTATTATTATTATTATCATCATTTACCTCTGTAGCTGACTGAGTCTTTGAAAATGAAGTGTTGAAACCAGTGACTTTTAGGATTGTATTTATCAGTGTGACAGGCTAAGAATGTATATGTCAAAATCTTGGAATCTTCACTCTTCACTCACACATTATAAGACAGAAAAGTAAACAGCAAATTGAGTACATTCTAAAAAGAGAGACATGATCAAAGAGACACGACTTCCAATATGCCATGCCTGAACTGGGAGAGCCGGTTGGACAGTGAAGAGGGGGCTTTACGCTGTTTATAATCTTTGATGCAGATGACTGAGAAGTACTGGATGGAAAATCTTTCCTTTTGATGACCTCAAAAGATTGCAAGAAATCATCTGCTGAGAGATTTAGAAAGTGCCATCTCCATTTTGTCTCCACAAAAGGTTTCTCCTCCCGCCCCCACACCGTCTTATGCAGTGTTCCTCAGGGCTCTGAACTTGGTCCTCTCCTCATCAACTTGCACATACTCCCTCTCGCTGACATCATCCGCAGACATGGGGTCAACCTGCACATGTATACGGATGATACCTAACGCTATCTCTCTGCCTCCACCCTTGACTTCAGGACAACTGCTGTCCTGACATAATGTTTGTCAGACATCAAGTCCTAGATGAGAACTAACTTTCTACAGTTGAACTTTAACAAGAATGAGGCGAACGTCAGCACCTCCACACCTCAGGCACTGGCAGCATCACCATCCATGGGTGCACACTCCACTTCACTGAGCCAGTCCAGAATCTAGACATCCTGTTTGACCCTCAACTGTCCTTTTACCCACACATCCATGCCTTCCCCCACCTCCGCAACATCACCCAGCTGTGAAACTGCCTCACCCCTCAAGCTGCTGAGACCCTCATTTACACTTTCATCTAGGCTGGACTACATCAACTCTCTGCTTGTCGACCTTCCCAATTCTTCCCTCCACAAACTGCAGATATTCCAGAACTCTGCAGCTTGTGTCCTCTCCTGCGCCAGGCTCCGTGACCCCATCATCCCCACCCTCGCCCAGCTTCACTGGCTCCCCATACCTCAGAGGATAGAGTTCAAAATCCTCATCCTTACCTGCAAGGCCCTCCATATCTTATAAGAAATTTCTTCCAAATTAGGTGAATTTAAGAATTTTCCACAATTCTGTGTAATCTACATTTTTAAGCCAAAATAGTCTTACAGGCTAAATCAAGGTGGAATTTGGGGCCTGGAGGACCCCAGGCGAGATTCTGGGAGGGAGTGGAGTGGTTGGGTGCTTCCCCTCCTGAGGCTTTGTCACAGAACTTCAGTTAAAAATCAGGAGGGAAAAAGCAATTTATAAAACTATGAGCCAAGGAGTCACTGGGTGGAACTTACATGTTTCCTGTAATAAAACCGGGAGTTACTGCAGAAATCCTCCTACATCAAACTCTCCACAATTCACTGCCGTTATACCTCCATCG